AACAGAATGCAAACGTCTACGACTATGCACACTCCCTCTCATTCACGGTATCAACAGACGTATCACAAGATAGCGATACAGAGATTCTCGATGGAGAATCATCTGAGGGATTTGGCAAAGATACCCGGGTACCAGTCGCATCCCAAGTATAAGGAATGTGTTCATAAATATAGAGAAATATTGAAATTACAGCAGTCTCATGTCACATATCAGGGACAAAGTATGCAGCAGACTCCATGCGTCACCACCACCACGTCGACAGTTAATACCTCTGCTATCCCGCCTATAAACTTGCAGTTCGATCAGAATGGCGTTTTAATCAATTCTAATTACATGCCCGAAGCTTTCCCTAGAGTACAGCAAGCGGTGAATTCTCAGGCGCCGGTGGATAACCCGGTGGACAAGCAGAGTAAGCAAGACGGCATCCCCGAAATGGCGAATCGCAACGTCAAGAAGCCGGAACAATTGGTGTCGCAACAACACGACGGTCATGCGATCGCGTTGTGCGTGGAAAGCATGCAGAAGCAAGATCAATACCCGGCGCAAAAGAGCCTCGAGCAGAATCAATTCGAAATTCAAAAAACCGGAAGCGAGAGCTTCAACAATTTGACTGGAAACGCGAATGTTGCGGTTATACAACAGAAAATATCCAAAGAGTTCGCCGACAAGCCGGAGCTTGACGTACGACAGTTTCTCGCCAACTGGGACGAATCGGAGGATGAGGATGGCGCGAGTACCAATTTGCCGAGCGCCGTTCTGAGCGACTCGACACCAGTGGTAGTTGTGGGTTACGAGAATCTCTCGGCAAAGACGTTGGAGGGTCTAGAGGTCTCCAAACCGGAAGAGATCACTCCGAGTGTTATAACGTTTGAGAATCAGGAGAAGAGCGACATCGGTGTGGTACCAGCGCAGGACTGTCTGACAATATCGTACTCATCCGCGGAGAACGTTGAGATCGCGAAGGATCCAACGTGTAAGGACATCACGAAGGAAACTATTGTACGATCGGGAAGCCACATTATACAGTGCATAAGCAACGGGCCGGACGAGGTACCAACGATACACATAGTCGATAATTTAGAGATAGGTAGCATTTTACAGGTCACAAACGGTCAAGTTACCGAGACTTTGCAGAGGCAAGACGCAGTGTCATTCTTCCAAGAAGGAACAGAAGTCGCGGCAGCCGCGATAACTCTCGAGGCCGCCGACAAGTTCAAAAAGACCGACAGCAAGACAACTGAGTCGGCTACGACCGAGTTCAATGCTGACCTTGGAAATCTGAACAAGGAGCAATACGTCGTTGAAGGTCCCTCTCCGCCTAAAGCGGTGGAGAGCACGTCGCAAACGTCGCGAGTAAGTGACCGGACGATCACCGCCCTGCCTACATCCGCGAAGGATTCCGCCCGAGACACGAATTTGAGGAAACAGAACAGTTTCGCGAGCGAGGAATCTCATAATCCGGACGATATAAGTTTGCCAGACTTGCCCACGTCAGAGTGTACTCCGATCTCTACCACGTTGAACACGCCGATCCACTCTGATAATGAGGAGACGTCGGAGCGCGTCGAGGATCTCACGATATCGACAAATCCAATCGAAATTATACAGAACAGTCCCATGATTAGTTTCACTCAGTCGCCGACGAAAAGAGAGCCCTACGATCATCTGAACAGCGAGGAAACTGTCAGGAATAAACCGGCTGATTCATTAGAAGGTGAATACCAGACGG